TTGTTAACATGATTACATTAGTTATCTTATTTGGATAATGCTAATACTTGTAAATATTGTCAGGTATTCATGATTATAAGTTATGTTAATAACAAATCAAGTTTCTTTTATAGCACAAGTGTCAGTTATACCATACCGTTGGGCTATGAAAGTGTCAACTATTTGTTATACCAAGTGTTATACAATACAAATCTAGACTAACCATTTTAACAAGCAAAGTATTAAAAGTGAACAAGATAACAAATACAAAACATGTTAGTATCAAACATTCATATCCATGTTGAGTTTACAGTATTAAAAGTGTGAGGATACCTAGGTAAGAACAAAAAAAAATATATACTTTATATATCAATAAGAAATTTATTATTTTAATTAAGTTTTATTCCATGACATTAGTGATATATCATACATAACAATTATATATAAACATACACCTCTAACATGTCATTCTAATAAGATAATTATAGACATATCTAAACTAATTCCCTTGAGTTATCAAAGAAAATTAGGTGGTCAGAATCCAGATAGCTATTGCAAATCCTCATAAGTTCTTTACAAGTATCATGGTTGTAACCTTTTGTGTCACTCGACATAGATTTTTCTATATAAATTCTTATATTTATAAATTACAAAACTTTTACATGATTGTATAAGAAATATTGAGTTACATTCGAGAGGGATTATATGAGAAAATAATTTAACAACCCCTAAAGAAAAATAAAGCAGAAGTAGGATACAAGAACTCTATTTAATATTACAATCATTCAACCATTAAAAAACACAATCAAATTGGTCTTCAATAACCATAATTATTCATTATGCATAAAAACATCTTAATATATATAATAAAAAAAATACTGTATGCTTTTATTCTTATGTTTAATTTTAAAATAATATTTTTAACACGTGAATTTTAAAATAATATTTTTAACACATGAAAATATTGAATCAAATATAATTTGACAATTTTCCAAACTCAATAAATTTTATTTGATATAATTTTCTTGAAAAACTAGTTTTTCAAAGTTTAATAAAAAAAAATAATCATATTAAAAATTGTATTAACATTCTAAACTATTTTAGGATCAATTAAATAAAATTTCTCAGTTTAAAACTCTTTTTATTTAGAAAAAAAATATATTTTTCTAAAATATTTTAATTAAATCCTAATCCAACTAGGATAACATAAGGAAAAAATGGAATTGAACACTTTAACTCAGTCTTTATCCAATTAAGAAAATTAATTCTATAATTAATTTAATTTTAGGTTTCAATTTTAATATTAGATCAATATTTTACATGTCTAGTAATAGAATCGTAATTCTTTCTGAAATACCCTATTGTAATAACAGGGGTAAATTCATATTTTAAACCCTAAAACTCTAAAATTGGATTAAGTTTTTCTTTTCTTGTCCAACTACTGCTATGGGTTCCCTGCTCACTACCGATGAAAGAACCAGCAACGTAATTGGCAGGGCAATAACCATAGGCTATTTACCTCTCATGCCAATAACGAGTGCCAACAAATCTGGTGTTATTACTGGTGGCACAACAGTGGTCTCAGAATCTCACACAGTATGGTGTCGCTACCACACTTGTGTGTGTGTATATTTCAGCTAGATTTGAAAAAAACAGTAAACAAATGTTATTTAAAAAAATAATGAGAGAAAAATATTTTTTGTAAAAATATTTTTGTATACAAATTTAATTTTCAATTAACATCAATAATAATTAAAATGTATAATTAATAACTCTAATGGTTTAATAATAACTCTATATCATTGTTGGGTTTCTCAAAACACATATAAACAATAAAAATAATAAATTTAAAAAATTTTCAAGAATCTAAAGATCCTATTTAATAAATTTGGAATTGTTTAAGACTTATACAAAGATTATTTGAAGATTGAATTTTCTTTTCAACTTTAAATAATTGCTTCAAAATTAAGTTATTGTAAAGTCGTCCAATTATTTGGCCTCTAATAATAATTCTATAAATTATTAATGAGAAATCTTCTAAACTTTTTTAAAAGAAAGAGATGTTTTTGAGTCCTAACTTTTTTCTTTTATATTTTTTAGATGTTATATATTGTGTTTTGTGTACAAAATAAGAGACATAATATTTTATTTATAGATAAACATGAAAATTTTATAAATATTAAAATATTAATTTATCTCTTAAATAATACTATATCTTATACTTGAAGATAATTTTATAAATGTATTCATTCAAATCTCTATTTAATTTTTTTTAGATCTAAAATTATAATTCACTATATAAATTATATTTTAGTTTTCAATCCTAAGATTTATTTTCAATCATTACTACTTGCTTGAGTAGTGTAAATGATTTTATCTAAAGTTGATTAAAAATTAAAGAATTCCATAACTCAAAGATATCCTAATGATAAAACCCAAAAAACTTATTTTAAACTTTTAGAAAATGCCACAGTTTTATCGAACGCTGCTTGAATGTTTGTCTAAGGTCGAGGCATACCTAGGCGATGCCTAAGAAAAAATTTGTAGAATGGAAATAACGACATGTCAATTGAACATTTGAAACCTTGACAACCCAAACTCCAACGACATGATCCTCACTCCAATAACTACGCAAATATGTAGAGGTCAGAAGGTATCTAAAACGCCTTGCAACGTGGCAACTTGAAAGCATGTTGACACGACCAAGGACCATCCCTTGTACTTTATTTCTCACATGAAAATCTCTCCTTCCTTACCCGAGGGATATTTCTTCCTTATTCCTTAATTATTATTTTTTTTTCTTCATTAAATAATCTTAGGTTCTAAAGAGTTTTAAAAGATTTAAACAAAAAAATCTGAGAAAAAATAAGCATAATTTTTTTTATTGAATTGAAATAAAATTTTATCCAATAATTCTAAATACCTAATTATATAAAGGCATTTAAGCATTTAGAAGAACTTTCTTTATTTTCCCTGTATTTTTTGAATTTTTTTCTATTTCGATTAGGAGTCTTGATCTTATTAATTAAAATAATTTTCTTATATTTAAATAACTTTGTAGGATGCTTTTCAGGAGAGAATTAATGATTATGAGTTATGAACTTCTCAAAGTAATTATCAAAGTTTTGAGCTTTCCCTATCATTATGAATTATAAGTTTGAGAGCCCACATTATATATATATATATATTAAAACTATAAAACTTTAAGTTGAGGAAATCTGTCCATGCTACACTTTGCATTAATAAAAAAAAATCAGAATTTTCTTCATTGCAGAAAGCAAAACAACAAATTTTCTCTTTCCATTTCTGTCTTCAAAAATTAGGAGTCAGATACTTTATGCAAAAGACAGACAGATTCAAGAGAGAATTGGATGGAATTCAATTCGAGTTGCAAGCAACTAATTATAGTGGAATGAGCTTGGATCTAGTGAAGGGGCAAGCTTCTTAATTTTGAAATTCAATCGGTTTGCTACGTATCAGAGTTTTTAATCAGCTCATAGATTTTATCCAGGTTATTAGGTTTTCATTGAGTCACAAATCACCCGAGTTAATTCTAACTTTTTTTATAAATTAAAATAATATTATTTTAATTAAAAAAATAAATAATTAATATATTGCAATTAGAATTTTAATCAAGTCTTACTGAATCATCTATATTTTTAATTTTTTTTATTTTTTTATATTAACTAGTCCTAAATCAATCTATTATATCAAACTAGATTTTAAAACTATGATAAATATTTTCATTATTAATAAATTGCATTATTCATGGACTATAGTTGTTGTAATATAGTAGTATATAGGAGGCATTACAACTGAGGTTGTATTACAAAGTTAAATTAGACAATGAGGTTTAACCTTGTTTTTAAAATGTTTTGAATTTTAAATTATTTTAATGTTTTGATGTAAAAAATAAATTTTAAAAATTAAAAAAAATATTATTTTAATATATTTTTAAATAAAAAATATTTGAAAAAATAATTTCTATCACACCCTTTCATGCATATTTTAATTTTTATTTATAATGAGCTAAAGCCTCATTTACTAGCTCTCGTGAAATCAATACGGCCCAAAAGCTAGAAAACATAATTGAAAGGGTAAAATGTATCAAACTCATTAATAATACTATTGGTGAAGAGTAAAAAAGTACTTAAACAGATTATCAAGTGTTAATCGTTTGTAAGTAGAGCTTCAGATTTAATCAATTACCGCTTTATTGTATTCAAGATTGATGAGGAAATCTAATAGGTTATTGTAAAAAAGCTTGGAAGTCAGACATAGAATGATTCTGTCACCTCTCTATTTTACTTAAAAATATATTAAGATAACTTAATAAACGGGCTTAGTCTAATAAGAAATATGAAGCATCCCTTGGAGACTTGGATTTTGGATTCAAACAGAGGACATGAAAGAAGAGATTTTAGAGTAGGAAGGCCTAATCCCATGTGTAACCCAAAACTTATAGGGCTTCTTACTGGATTGAAACACAGGTTTGGGCAGTATGCAAGATATATTGTTCTATCAATCTATTGTTTTTGGAGCTCTATTCTTCAAAATGTTTCGTTGTTCAGTGACCATCCATTCAAAATGTAAATGCAATGCCCGTATCAGAGATGAAGAACCTGCTGCTTCTTAATTAACTTTTTTTCCAATTTTCTTTCTCCCACCTCTCCACTTGCCTTGTAATTGTCTCCTTACTCTCAATAAAAGCTTCAAGTGTACGAGGTTCATAAGGAGGCGGCATTGTACATGGGAGTGTATCGCTAGGAAAGTTCACCAGAGTCTCTGCCATGAATTTCTTCCATAAACCTCTGTGAGGGCGTGCCATAGTCTCTGAATACACCTCAACTGCCCCTTCAGGAATTCTCGGTTTAAATTTTAAGAGCTTCGCATATTTTGTTAATAAATGAAACATGTAATCATACACATATTCCATCTTTAGATTTTCTTGAATAAACTTGCTCCCTGCCTTCCCGATAGCCTGTGCCTACAAAATTTATGAGCAACAAGCATTGCGTTTGCATTAAACTTTACTGGTGACTAAAAACCAGTGAAAAGAGAAAAATTGAACATCAGGCACATTTCTACTACCTTATCAGTATGGTTGTTGCCCCATTCGACAGCAAACTTGATATCTCTGCACTTGTTTCTGGCACTAACGGGCCAGTAGTGTTGCAACGGTACCATGCTTCTGATGAAGAAATCATAGTACTCGGGCTTTACGAACAAAGTCATGGAATCGCATGCTAATATATTCTTGTCACTCACTGACCATCCTCTTCCTTCTATATAAATCTTGTACCTACGAATGCAAAGATTAGATTTTCTTACACTCGGAATAAAAAACGAGTGTTTAGTTTATGTTTCTGGCACTAACGGGCCTATACCTGTGTGTGCATTGGTCTTCCAATCTTGAATGTTCATATCCTTGCTCACTCTCTGTACGCCAATCCTGAACACAGAAAATGAAGTTATTACAGTGACTATAATTACCTCAACAAGTCTTCATATAATCTTAAACTATGTAGCTTGCCTGTTTATAGAGACGAGCATTCCAGTCATATTTATCAGAAACATTGCACCACATGAGTTGTCTCCTAGATGCAGCCACGTTTGGGTTCCCTCTCCAATAAGCATAGGGTACCCTATCCTTCCACTTGGTCCTTTTGTTGGCTTCTTTTAAGTCCTTGGACAGGGTTTTCCATGGGCTTACATTGGTCTCAGCCCTGACCAAAAATAAATTAAAGTGTGTGTTATTAACAAAGAGTTTGAGATGAAGTCACTAAATTGTCTTGGATCCACTCAAGACCCACTCAGAAGGGAAATTTGACTTTCAAGCTAGAATAATGCAAAAGGTTCCGAGGAATTACCAACCCCAAAAGGTCCAGTCAGGAAAGACAATGCCCAAAGCATCCTCATGCCCACAATATTGAAATATGGATGGTGACGAAGTGGCATTTGTTCCTCGGTAATCTTTCTTCAGGATCACAGGCCTGTCTTCACACCAGAACATAAGTTCCAGGTCTGGTACCTTTCCAGGATACAACCTTAGCAGTTGCAAGATACCCCATATTGTAAACTCATCTCTTGTATGAAATGACTTCTTATATTTCTCCACATAAATCTTTCCCTTGAGAATCACCAATCTAAAATGTGCATAATCTTTAGCTCTTTCCACCATGGCCCTTGAGATTCCCGTGCTCTTCCAGATCCTTAGATCCTCGTGGATCCACCGAAAGTACTCCGGGCATGCTGTGGATGATAAGTTGTTAGGCCTGAATATCACTGGATAAGTGGACACGCGTGATTGCTCCATGCTTCCATTGAGGGAGCGTTTGAGCGGGAGCTCAATTATGCTGGGGGATCTCTTATGTCCTTTGATACTTGTAATAATAGTCTGAAAAAATAAAAATAAATTTATCAGGGAAGTGTTCAAATGGAAACAGAAATATATAGCTATCTAGGGTTCGACTTACATGATCAACCCAGTAAAAGAAAGCTCCAAGCAGGAGGACAAAGAAGAAGAAGAAGAAAACAGCTGGCGAACCCCATCTCTTCATTAGCTGACAAACTCTACTGAACTCTTCTAAGAAATGATTATGCGCCAGATTAAGCTCCTGCTGAATCCCAAGAATTACATCCTTGACCAAACCATGGCAATCATCCAGGCTCGAGAGGAAGAAGGGATCCTAGAGACCACATAATAGAACATAGGTGACTATCTTACGTTGACATTTATCTAGCGAATCGATGCATAAATTAAGATTATATTCGAGGTGAATTCTAATTTATAATTAGGACATCTACAGACAACAGGAATCAACTCCTATATAAAAATGCTGCTAGTATGAAAAACAGTAAAAAAATAAACAATCAGAGAAGCCTAACAATGATAACGAGCTATTTCTTCGTCCGATGTTAATCATCCTATTTCTTAATTTTAGCTGTCTTAATTTAAGTATCAATTCTAAAAGTAACACATACACACACTTTTTCTCCCTATATTTCCTTTATTACCATTTCTTATTTTTCAAATTTATTCAAAATAAATATTTAACTATATATGTAGATATAGTTAGGAATAAAAACGGAATAACATTTTTAAAACAAACACCCTCAATTAATTATTCCTAAATATGTGCGTTAAAATCATTATAATAGGGTTGATCAGGGAGTCTTAGCATGTTATTATATATTTTATGATGTTGGGTTTTTTCTTCTTTTTGTTTGCTTTCCCCTTAAAAAAAAGAACAAGTATGGTTGACCTTTTCTATTTATAATTTTCACTTCAATGGATAATAATAATAATAATAATAAAAAAAAGGTCAATGTGCCAAAAATTTTAATAAAGAGGCCCATTAAAAAAAAAAATTCTAGTTTGGGAGTGTGATCCTAATAGAGATTAGTTAAAATTCAATTATTTTTGTTTAATTTTTTTAAAATTTTAAATTATTTTGATATATAAATATAAATAAATTATTTTAATATATTTATAAAAAATTACTTTAAATAATAACTATGTTTCAACTCCCATAACCTCGTCGGTAACTACACTACAAGTCGCAGTTCAAGTTTTCCATCGAGATATTGCAAGTCCACTTTCCCGGAGTTAATAGAAAATGTCTTCATTAATTGACAAGCACGGAACTCAATTAGTGGGCTTGACATTAGGAATTAAAAAGAAGAAGAAGCATAATGTTGCTCACGATGCTGGCTCTCCCATCCAATCCGCTGTCCAAAATATATTATGATTATATTTTGTGATTTGAACACTCAGAACATTTTAAATTTATAAGAATTTTATGAAAACACAATCAAGAAAGCACGCACTTTTGCCTTTTTTCTTCTAATTTATCGCTTTTAGGGAAAAAATATTTTTTAATAAACATATTCTTATCACCTTTTATAAATATCAAAATTAACCTTATAATCCATCCACATCTCTCTTCAAAATAAACTCAAAAAAGAACCGCTCCTCACGATATGGAAATCCTAGCGGTGGAGAAACAAACTAATCCATCCACATCTCTCTTCAAAATATACTCGAAAAAGAACCGCTCCTCACGCTTCCTCGACAAACGCCATAAAATTTCCCATTACAATCCATGTATTTGGTATGGAAATCCTAGCGGTGGAGAAACAAACAAACCAGATGCTGGTCTTGCCTGACATGGCTAGCTCGGGCCTGGCCTGGCCTTGCCAGTTGCCTGAGATCAGGAACCGGAGTGTGGAAGTCTGGAAGAGCAAAGATTAAACATTTTGCATCGTTTCCTTCTTCGAGGAATAGAATAAACCATAGAAAAGGGAGGAAAAGAACGTTCCCGTCCTCTATGAACCACATCAGGAAAGACCGGTCACGTAGGCCTTGCCAGTTGCCTGAGATCAGGAACCGGAGTGTGGAAGTCTGGAAGAGCAAAGATTAAACGAGGTGTTTTACTTTTAAGAAGCTTCCCAACAAGGAAAAAAGGGAATCTTATACACGACGCTTTATCTAAATGGTTGCGCAACACTATCGCTTTACTTGGACGAGTTATGGGTGAGTTTCTGAATAATTCAGATAAAAGTATATATACAATTTCGAGAATTTTCATATTCTCCTATTTAAAATGATTTTTTAAATCTTTAAATTAATATTTTTTTAAATTATATTTGATCAAAGTCAAAATGAACTTAATTAATATAGACCATAGACTAAAAAAATTGATGCACGAGTGAATTCATGTACACATACTTTTGGTAATTTAGGGTACTCTATATTTCTCTTTCCCTCACTTGGTTCTCCAAAATAATTTTGAAAATCCATTTAAATTTTTTATTCTTTGTTTTTTTTTAAAAAAAATTTACTCACAACTATACAGAAAATTCTTTCACATTTTTTATCTTTCTTTTTTCCTCATTACATTTATTTTGTATCCTTAATTACTAAAATGGGCACCGGAGAATCTCATATCTTATACATTGAACTTGTTTTACGGAATATCTTTTGAAACAGTAGCCAATCCCTTCTCCAAAAGAGTTTTCGAAGCCAATTAAATATCGTATATGGAAAATCCAAGCTTATTAAAAGTTTACTTCATACATTGTCAGATGCCTTCGATTCTTTCAAGAAATATAACTTCATTATTAAAGGAGCTTCCCTACCCCCGAGCAGGATGGACATCCTACAAAAATACAAGGGAAAAACAATATGGAATGACTCCATGTTATATTTCTATTTGCTCCCTTCAAGGGTGGACAGGTTTCTACTGTTTCTTATTCAAGTTTTCCCAGTATTCATCCCCCCACATCTCCACCTGCCTCCTCACATTCTCTTTCCTCTGAAATAAATCTTGAAGGGTGTGAGCATCATAAGGAGGAGGCGCAGTGCATGGAACAAGTGCATCATCGGGAGACTTCACCACTGATTCCAAAATGAACATTTTCCATAAACCACCCAGAGAACTTGCCGTAGATTCAGAACTGACCTCGATGGCGCCTGCCGGAATTTTTGGCTTGAATCTCAGGAGTTTTGCATACTCCTTGAACAAATGAAACATATACTCGTACACATATTGCATTTTCAGGTTTTCCTGAATTAACTTGCTTCCTGCCTTCCCAATGGCCTGTGCCTGTAATTAATCAAAGAAAAGGACTGATCTATCAATATCTGCTGTTTTTCATGAATTAATAGAAATTATTAGAGGGAGTCTTGCATGCATATACATACATCAACTGAGTGGTTGTTGCCCCATTCTACAGCAAACTTGATATCTTTGCACTTGTTGCTAGCCCTAATGGGCCAGTAGTGCTGCATTGGCTCCATGCTTCTACTGAAGAAATCGTAGTACTCGGGCTTTATGAGCAAAGCCATGGAATCGCATGCTAAGATATACTTCTCACTTACTGACCATGAATTCCCTTCTATATAAATTTTGTATCTTCACCAAAATCGGTACACAAACCGAATATAAAATTCCATCATTAAAACAAGCAGTAGTGATTTTTTTTAATGATAAAAAAAATTAGTAGTGATCTTGAGAAGGATTAGAAAATAAATAAATAAATACGAGAACAGTTAAAAAAGAGAGAGTTTGGGACATACCTGTGGGTGCACTGTTCTTCTAGTTTTGAATCTTTATACCCTCGCTCCCTTTCTTTACCCCAGTTCTGAACACAAATAACGGGATTTTATACAATTATTTCGGGAAATTTAAATTATTATGACAATTAAAGACATAATCAAACTGAAATTAATGAGTCAAATGACCAAGAAAACTTCTAAGAAGAAACCCTTTGAAGACTTAGTAGATGAAATGCAAAGAAATAAAGTTTGGGACTGAGAAGGAAAATGAAAAAAAGAATGGATCAAAATAAAAATAAAAATAAAATTGAAGGAGCACTAGAGTGTAGATTTAAGCATCTTTTGACAATAAACATGGAAAAAACTGTCAATTATTCGCAATGTCAAATTTAATCACGGTTTTTTTAAGTTGCCTTTTAAAACATTTTAAAACCTTCTCCTGTAAAATCACCATGAAATTATATCCTGGAACAATTTCCGACTCCTCGGGTATGTGTAAAAATGAAAGCTCAAGAGAACGAAAAAACCTAGAATAAAAACAAAAAATTAATGACCAAATTGAATCAATCCATAGCTCGAAGATAAAGAAAAAACTTGAGGGCCAAGAAGAAAATCAAACACATGTACAATGCTTATGAATAAGAAATTTGAGAGCATGAACAAGACAACTACGTAAAAGGCCTTCCTGCTTTATTGGGTTTTTTTTTTTAATGTTAAATATTGGGTTTAGTCTACTTAAATAATTTCACAAAATAATTTCTCTATTTCATATCAAGGAGCACATAATATGTTCTTCTATTAGTTTTTGTGAGTTAAAAACCTTCCACTCGGCTAAATTCATAGGGTTATGGTCAAGAAAACTTGCCTGTTCATAGAGGCGAGCAAGCCAGTCATATTTGTCCGAGACATTGCACTTCATAAGGTCTTCCCTATTTGGAGAGACATGGGGATTACCCCTCCAATAAGCATATGGTTCCCTGTCCTGCCACTTAATCTTCTTATTTCCTTCAACCATTCCTTCTAGCACAATTTTCCAAGGTTTTATATTGGTCTCGGCCCTGCCATAAACATAAAAATGAAAGTTAATTTCCAAAAACGTTTTCCTGGAAAAAAAATCTATATATTTAGGGAAGAAAATTTCTAAATGATTCAATTATTGAATCTCAATTATTGGAGTAATTCGTGCATGATATGTTGACATTCCATGTGCCACTCGGTCACGATTGTCCAACGGTGCTTGGAGAGATGTGTAGAGTGGAGCATGTTTGAAGCCTCACCAACCCCAGAATGTCCAGTCAGGGAAGACGATATTCAACGCTGTGCTGTGTCCACAATATTGAAATAGTACTGGGGGCGACATGCCATCGGAGCCCTGGATATCATGTTTCTGTATCACAGTCTTATCTCCGCATCGAAACATCAGCTCCAAGTCTGGTATCTTTCCAGGGTACAAGTTGAGAAGTTGCAAAATACCCCATATTGTGAACACATCTCTTGTTTGATAGGGCTTGCTGTAGTGCTCCACATAAGCCTTGCCCTCAACAATCACCAGTCTAAAATGTGCATGTTTCTTAGCTCTTTCTAGCATGTCCCTTGAGATTCCCGTATCCTTCCACGGCCGTAGATCCTCG